TTTATATATATATATATATATATACACTATAAACGATATAAATAAATGTTTTCGTCATTTCAGGATAACGTACAAAAACGTAATTAACTTACAAGAAAAATTAAAATATATTTTTTATGATCTACGTTCAATCATTAGCTAATAAGTAATTTTTGCGACGTAAATAAATGTAATTTTTTTTTGTATCGCAGTCGTAAACATTTTTTTTTTTCAAGTGCTATTGTTATTTCACTCGTATTATTCTAGTCGTTCGTGACAAATGCGCACTGCAATAGACGAAACTTAAATTTTTTCATATCTTAATGTCTCAGATGTCATTTAAAATGCGCATTATTTAATTTATATCTTTTAAATGGAAAATAGAATTGTTCCCTCCTCTCTCTCCCGATTCGTAAACTTATAATTATGCGAATTATTATAGTTCGTTGGTATATATTCGACCCTGGGACGGATAGACGCCACGTATAACTGCGCATTCAGGGGTTGAGATCGCGTGAACGACGGAGTGGGACGACGAGGGGGAGAATCGGGCGGAACGATTTCTTCGCCGGATATCGCATTGTCGGCATTACGTAAAGCTAGCGCATATTCATTAAGCGTAACAGCGTCGCGTCGTCGCGTCGGCAGCGTAGACGATCGGTGTGTAAACAGAACGAAGAGAATACGTCAAAAGAGATCGGCGCATTCACGTGGTCGACCGATGTACAGAGCGTGGTCAATTATTCAATAACCATTCTTCAATTCAATTTCCCGTTCTCCGTCCCGTTTCTCCCTTCCGTTCTTTTTCCTCCTCCCTCCTTCGAAATACTTCGAAATACAGATATCCGTATCGAAATCTGATATCCGAGAAATATACGCGTGAGCTTTCCAAGAATCGCGATTTTATTAATTGAATACTTAATCGCTAATAGAAAGAATGGCACGTGTTCTACTTTTCTATTGACTTTCAGTCTTTGATTTTTTTCTAAAATAATTTTTATTGGCTTAGTTAGATATTATGACGTCGTGTTCGATTTTATCGCGCGAATCTTATCGAACCGATTAAGAGATAAAAATAGCATAATCTTTATTGAGTGTTGACATATTCAAAATTAATACGCAAAAGAGGAGAACAAATCAGATAAAGATAGATAATATTTTCGAAAAAAGTCAACAAGTTATTATTTGCCAAGTCATTAAATCATTTTCATTATAAAAGTTTGTAATTAGACCGATAATAGAAAATGGAACATTTTTCCCTTCGATAATAATTCGCATTTATGTAACATTAGAAGTTAAAAAGGAAAAAAGTACGACCGGTCTCTAATAATTTCTGATAAACGGTCGTAGAGAATTGCCTAAATATAGAGAGATTATAAGCTCGTGTGTGCTTATTTTTATTTAACGGTCCATTCAAAATCACAAAATGCACCGACTCGCCCTCACGTTTTGCAATTCCGTAATTTCACGCATGTAAGTCCAATGTGAAAGTCGTGTCCAATGCCGATATGGAATAAAAATCAGGTGGAATCCCCGTTTAACGTTGAACACGCGGCTTGAAAGCGCGCCAAAGAATCCGCTGAAAAAGCGACGAACCGGCAAACTCGTGAAGGTTGACCACCTCTGACGAGTGTAACCACGTGCGATAGGAACAAGTGGAGGAAGCGAACGAGCGAACGAGCGAACGAGCGAGTGAGCGATCGATACGACATACAGGGTGTGTCTGAAACGAGTTCAACGAGGCCCGACGACTCCAAAGCTGCCTGGACGGATTTTCGACGATCGATGGAGTAATAAAAAATTTAAAACATACTCAGGAACTATAAAGGCAAAAAGATTTTGAGAATCGACGATTTTAAGAAGTACGATTTTTTTGAGAATGTATTTATTTCCGAAAAATTTTTTTTTTTTTTTCGTAGTAAAAGAACAAAAATACTTAGGCGACAAGCAAATAATTCTGATTTGGAACTCATTTCGCGCTCATTTTCATAATACGTCTCCTGAAAACGAAACGTCGGAATTGAAGAGAAGTGTATCACGTTCTTCTGTCATGCTCGCATCAGATACACAAACGGAAAACGTGCTTCAAATATCAAATATACAAACAGAAAATAACAGTGTAATCGTATATGATTTTGGGGATTAAGAGATAAACATGAGAAGAGAATGATAGGGCGTAGATATTTTATATTGATAATCATGTAAATGCGTGGCAAGTGATATATTATCACGCACGATGTTAATGAAATTTGAATTGGACGTAATCAATCAACTTTCACGAGATTGCGTATTATAATTGTATATCGATATAATTACTTTTAACAATTGTTTCACGGTTTTATTACAAATAGTTACTGCGTGTGCGGAATAGGCTTTTAGGATTGAGGTATTTCCTTCCAGACCGCATGCGGGTTAGTCAGGATCAGGAATCCATGATGGTGGTGTTCCAAAATTATCCTCAAGCTATTCCGGTCATTTCGGGACCGGAGAGGATACGTACTCTCACATTCGTAATGTTATCATTGGAATTGCGTTATAGTTCCGAATTAGAAATCAGTGTACAAGACGCGATAATAGGTTAATCGTCTTTGCACTGCATTTATGCGCCGCGATAAGCGAGAAGTTGTATGATATGGGGGATTACAAAAATACTTGCCTACTTCATAGCTATATTTTCGACAAATTGCAATTGAG